GAGTTTGGGGTTTAGGTTTTTGGGGGCTTTTTGCTGTAGGGGTTTAGGGTGCTTGTTTTGGTTTGGCTTTATAGGGTCTTGCAGGTGTGGCGGCTCTGACAGGGTGTTACACAGAGCTCGACAAGGCTCCGATGAAGGTCCCGTGGGTTTGCCCAGTTTTTGTTCGGCGCTCCATACCGATAGTTCTCTAAATTGGGGTCCCTCTTTAGAACTTTAGGTCCCCATTATAGTACGGCACCCTTATAAAAAGGACCCTAAAAGGGACCCTAATATAGAGAACTACCCATACAGGCTCTAAAAGAAATCCACGGGCTGTACAGGTTCGTCAGATCAAGGCCTGCGGGGTAATGTAGGGGCCTTTATGCTTAGAATAGGGTCTTGGGGGTTCCTTGTTGTAATTATAGTAGAATGGGCCCCAAAACCCTATTCTAATTACTATTAAGGCCCCGACAGTATGGGTTTCAGGCCGTTCAGGTTGTCCGGGTCACACCTGTACTTACGACTCTTCCTCCAAGAACCTCGCCAAGTGCGAAGAAGGTGCTGCGTCCGTGCGGACGGCGCAAGAAACGCCGAGCCATAAGGGCTTTAGGGTTCAAGGTGTCGGAGCCCAATATGGCTTCAGCGCTATATACTAACTTAGAACCAAAAACTGAACCCATAGACTTCATGGCATTTCCCGTAAGAGCAAAACCCTTTCCGCGGTCCTAGACTTGCGCCGACGACCAGGTAGATCGAGGGTATAGACCATCTTGAATCCAGCACCTCGTCTCGAACAGGGGTTAGGATTTAGGGTTTCGGGCCCCCAATTTCCTAGTCCCTTTGCATAAGAACCCCCTAAAATCATGACCCAGTGTACCCGGACCCAAAGCCTAAATCAGTTCCTGATCCCGGGGTGATGATGGAAACAAACAAGAATCGTCATCACTATACTCACATCACCACAAACGCGATTACCATGATTAGTTTCATGATTATCACTGCTATTCGGACACTTCCAGCATTACTAGTAGTTCGAGTCATTGACTGGGATGTCTCGCCTGGATTTCGCCTAAATCGGACTACGGCTATGACCATGACGACGACTACCAGATTGTAGTTCTGTGAACTAGGGGCCCCATTTTAAAGGTACCCCAAAATAGTACGACACCCCTGAAAAAAGCCTTAGGAGGTACCCTCATCTAACTACTTTTTGGGTCCCCTAAAATAGTACGACACCCCTGAACAAAGCCTTAGGAGGTACCCTCAGTTACTGCCCCCTGTGCATCCTGATGCCAGGCATCCAGGCCGACACAATGCTGCCCAAAGAGGGCCTTGGCCCGTAACATGGCGAAGTTCCGCACCTGAGAATGTCGTTCAAGTTTGCGTCTAGGCGTTTAATTATAAGGGGATTTGGAGTTTAGGGTTGAGGGTACAGAGTTGAGGTTTCTGGCACACATCGTCTAAGGAATTCATCACGACATTAACTGAAAGGTGCCACACTGTCTGGGGCCTTAGTCACTTCGGCTGAGGATTGAGGACAGCGGGGTCCAACGATGTAATATCAAGCGACTTCGTACACGCTCCAACTCGGTGTCTTGTTGACTACTTGTCTTGTCTCTCTGCTCCAGGATCCGAACCAGAAAAGAAGAATCTGAATCCCAAGCATGAGCTGCGAGAGTATAGGTAAAAATCTGTTGAAGAAAGACTTACCTACGACCGCTGCTCAGCGAGATGACATTTCAGTGAGCTAAAGTAGAACACGTGGTCTCCTGGACCCCTGAACCCTGAACCCCAAACTACCTAAAGTCTCCATTGTGATTCCTTTTCTGGTTGAACCAGTTTTATATGACTTTATATCTAGGATCCCAGAAGGTAATCCAAAAGAGGAATTACAATGGAGACGATAGGTAGGCCCTGCACGCGAGACCCCTACACAGACTTCTTTTGGCGGTTCGCGCGCACGCGCGGGGGTTTCTCAGGGTGAACCCTTGGGATGAACCTCTGCGGGGAGCGGCGGGGCTGCACTCGGAACTACCAGGATCCCAAAAGTATGTAGAACAATAGCTTTTTAGAGGTTTTGGGCCATTATTTTATCTACTGTTAGAGGTTTCGGTAAGCACCTTAGAGCTATGTTGAATCTGAATCTGGTTAAGGATCTCTGGGAGATTTCGGTTGCAGGTAGAGGTTCGTAGAGGTTCTCCTACAACACGTTCCAAGTTGCTCTGCAAAGGCTCTGGCTGATGCGACTTTTTATGGGTTGTTCGAGAGAGTGGTTCTTGTGTCCGGTCCTAGCTATTTAGGGTTTAGGGTTTAGGGTTTAGGGTTAGAGACTGTAGAGTGCTTTACCGGAGCAGCCACAGCGAAGCCCCCCTCCCCCCGTTCAAGTGACACAAGTCTCTACGCTTGGGTCAACCCAGTACCACTACAGCTTACAGGGCGCGGCATTGTTTAACCCGGTTCTGACTGCAGCTAGACGTTGCAATGTGCATGTGTGTGTGTGTGTGTGTGGGTGTTTGTGTGT